GAGTATTTGTTCATTTTTTATTTTTTCGGTTCAAATTGGTAAATTTTGACCTTAAGTTAATTAAAAATGATATTAGATATTGATACAAACATTATTTTATTAGATTTATTTTATCAAATATTTTTAAAATATTATTTTATCTAATTAATATACAATATACTACTCCCTCCGTTCCTTAAAACTATTCCCATTTTGACTTTGGGCCAAAATAAGAGAAGTGTAATTTTGATTGACTTTCCAATTTTGCCCCTGATGTGATAGGTAAAAGTAAGGTGTGATAGTTTGGTTATTAGTGAAAAAGTATGATGTGATAGATAGGGTAGGAAAAAAGTAGGGGTAGGAGTTGTTTTTTAATAGAAAGTGGAAGTGTTTTAGAGAATTGGAAAAAAACGAAAGGAGAAGGGTTTTATGGAACGGAGGGAATAGTATTTTTTATTTAATTATAAGTCAAAAAATAAAAATTATTGGTCGCAAAAACTTAAAACATGACAAATACTCGGGAGGGAGGTAGTACATTCCATTTTTTGAGCATATACAGTCACTAACTTTTATATATCTTCATCATGTGTTCAATGATAGGGAACAATAGGTTACAAAAATACCATTTTCTATCAAAAAACAGTCATTTACTTTTATCTTCAATTATGTGTTAACAATACCCAACAAAATGTTGCTTAAGTAGGTAACAAAATTCATTATATTAATGCCCCATTTGAAACATTTACAAGTCCGGGTGTCCCCAGCACATAACAGACCAAATACTACGTACCAAACTATTCTTTAAGCCATTCTTTTATGTATACATTAATATACTTATATACTCAATTCGATTTTATCACAAAATAAAGAGAAAATTAAAGCATAATTTCACACAATATTTTCTGTTTTCTTCTTATTTATTATTAGCAAAGACCTACAAAAAATATATAATGGGAAAATAGAGCCATTTAAAAAAGGGTAGAAGGGAAATTGTTGCATGCTCAAGGGACAAAGAAACACTTTTACTGCAAATTATTAAATGCCCGGTTGAAAATTATAGGGAGAACATTGGAATTTCCATTAGCCATTATGATTGAAATAATGTTATTTTAATTTAGTTGAAATGATTTGAAAAAAACTAAATAAAGTATGAACCTCATCACTGATGGTCCCTCAAAATCAGTCGGATGATAGACTACTGAGAAAAAACTTTGGAGGGTAATTTTTATACTAGTTGCAAGTCGCATCGTCCCAATGCATTGCATGCAGTCATGGGCGGATCTACCTTAGAGCATATGGGGGCAACTGCCCCCAGTCAAAAAAAGAAGTTTTTTTACGAGTACTTTTTTTTGTTTTATGTATGGTTGCCCCCAACAAAAAACAAAGAATGCCCCAGTACCACTAATTAACCCATTAAATAAAGTATTTATAAACTCTAGTGATATTAAATAATTTCGTACAACATAATTCCTTTAGTATTACTCCGTATAATTTTACTAATTTTAAAATATTTTGTTTTTTTATTTTAAATTTGTTTGATATAAAATTAATTTTTTCATCATGATATAAAGTACATTTAAAAAAAATTGTGGGCTCTGCCCCCGAACCCCCGCTTTGCTATACTGCCCCCAGTCATTCACAATCGTGGATCCGCCACTGGATTTGCGGTCCCACCACAGAAATCCCGACTTTTGGTTTAGATTTACGGCTTAGTATACACCGCTTGTTCCACACACGGGCAGAGTGAGGGGTTTTATTGGAGATTGGCATGTGACATGCAACATAATAATAATAATAGTAATAATAATATATTAGTAGTAGTAATAATAATAATAATAATATAGTAATAATAATAATAATAATAATAATAATAATAATAATAATAATAATAATGATAACGAACAACATATTGTTTTCCTCAATAGAAAAACAAGGAAATTAAAATTTTATCTTTATACTCCCTCCGTCCCCCAGTTTTTGTCTACTTTTGACTTTTGGAACTGTTCATCTAAGCAATTTGACTCATCAAATTCTCTCAATGTGTAAGCCTAAATATAATCATGTGTGATCTTGTTTGATTTGTCTTAACATATAGATTATTAATATATAATTTCTATAATTTTTTAATATACAAATTACAAGATAAAATGGATTAAAGAAGTGCATTGGATGGTGTGCAAAAATGAAAGTGGACAAAACTGGGGGACGGAGGGAGTACAACATAAAATTGAAAGTGTTTACTCATTCAAGGAATATATGGCACATATGTGTCCTATATTTGGGCTGAGGTAATTTAAGCTCATCCATATTCTGGGCCTATATGCGTATTTTCATTAATTTCGGCCTATTGGAACTTTGGGTCGTAGCTATCATTCCGAAAAGGAATTACTCCCACACTAGGAGAATTATTTTCACACAGTCAAACTTAAACTTTATATCTCATAAATTTTCATTGATATTTTGTTCCAACAAAATATGGAGAATTTATCTAAATAGTAGTAAAACATAGTAACTATGTCAAATAGTACCATATGTTTTTATTTTTCAATGTAGCATCACTAGTCATTATCCACTAGTCATTGTTCAAGTAAATGTTCACTGTCATTGGACATTGTTCAAACTAATTGTCCACCATCATTGGACATTGTTCCCGCCACTAGACATTATTCAAATACCATCTAGCTAACATAAGCGCCATAACATTATAATCTCGCTTAAGAAAGGAACAAAAAAGGATTGAAAAGATGACATCTTGCTCTAGTTTTCTCTCAAATTTTTTATATATTTCATCCGTCCCATTTTAAGTTGCTTACGATGTTTAATTTGATTGAAATTAATTATTTTAAAACGAATTAATAGAAAATTTGAATTAGAATTAAAAAATAAAATTTAATTTATATATATAGTTATTAGATTTATGAATTTAATTTATTTTTAATGTTTACACTGATGATTTATTAAATTAATTTGAAAGTAATCCCAATCAAATATATAAATCGATATGGGAAAATAATTTGGAAATGGATATTCCAAAAATGTGTTGTTCAACCACTCAAATTAAAAGAAAGTAGTAAATTAATAAATTTAAAAAAAAAATGGTTCCTCATGTGTGGACGGTGTGTGAGCTATACTCAATCTGTCTTAGAAGAGCTTTTGTGTTACGGTTTACCATATTAAAATAAAATTATTTTTCTTTCAATTTATATAAAAATTGAGATAAAGTTTTTCTATGTATGAGTGACATAGTCAAAACTTGTCTGCACGAGACAACTAAAGTTACGTTTTTACTACTTCCATTTTGACTTTTTACAGTTAATCACTTTAAATTTTTGACTTGTAATTAAATAAAAAGTACACGGTATATTAATTTGATAAAAACTAATTTTCAAAATATTTTATATAATAAATGTAAGAAAATGAAACTAAACTAGGAGTAAAACATGAAGAAAATATTGATAGGAACTTCATGTTTATTATCCCCAATATAATAATATATGACTACAATGCAAATGATGCCAATATATATGTAGTACCAAAAAATACAATGGGATTTCAACATACAATATAATGTCATAATATCGCACTACAAACTCTTATTTTGAGAATAAAAATATTAAACTCTTATATTGAGGATATAATAATAATAGTAACAATAATAAGAATAATAATAGTATTAATTATGTCAGTACTGCATATTTATTACACTACAAGAAAACGCCAAAAGAACGACGGAATTTGGCGACGGAATACTTTCTGTCGTTGATAGCGACGGAATTAGCGACGGATTTTGGATGCCTACCAGACGTAACGACGGATTTAAAGTTCCGTCGTTAGGTATGTGCGGGAAGTGGTGCGCGCCCTTTATAGCGACGGAAATGGCGACGGAAAATTTCCGTCGTTAGTTTGGCGACGGAAATAAACCGTCGCCTACTTCATTTTATCTAAACGCATCGTTTTGGCTTAGCGACAGAATTTTTCCGTCGCTAAATTCTGTCGTCGCACGATTCAGATCTTAAATACGGAATTCCTTTTCTTAGACAGACAGAACGCCGAAGACGACCCAAAAGTGCAGAACAGAACACCGTTCGTCATCCAGCACCCCGCCACTCGTCATCGAGTTCGTCGCCACTCGCCGCCGCTCGACATCCCCCCTCGCCGCCGCTCGCTGTCCACCTGCTGCCGGTCTTCATCTTCAAATATCAGGTTTTTTTTCATTTTTTTACAATTGAAGTTGAAAAGAATTTGACTATAGATATTTACATACTTGAATACAAAATTATTATTGATTGATGATATATATTAAGAGTGCATTATGTAAATTATTTGACATTTAGTTCTAATTTTAAAAGTTTTTGAAATTAGGGTTTTTTTCCCCAAAATTTTGTCATTTTGTTTTAAAAACTTATTTATATATTCTTGAAATTTTTAGTGAACGAATATTATGCTTATTAATTTTTTCATAACATATTTTAGATATTGTAAATGTTATATATATGATGATTGTGTACGTATTATGTATATGTTGTTCAATATTGTAATTCTTGTATTTATATTATATTTTTTAGTTTGTTTGTAATAAATTATATAACTTAATAGTATGTTAATTTTATTTGTTTGAATTTCTAAGAGTGACTTTCACGAAAATCGAGATTGGATGTATAAAAGACTTGATAGTT